AGTAGTAGTAGTAGTAGTAGTAGTAGTAATAGTAGTAGTAGTAGTAGTAGTAGTAGTAGTAGTAGTAGTAGTAGTAGTAGTCGGAGGAGGAGGAGGAGGAGGAGGAGCAGCAGGATGATGAGGAGGAGGAGGAGGAGGAGGGGCTCCAGTACCGTCCATCAGACCAGATGACGTCTAGGCCCTCTCTGTATGGCGTGAAGTGGCCAGGTACTCCGCGCCCGTTGTGTGTAGAAGCCCGACGTGTAAAGAAGCGCGGCAATCCGCGCCCGTCCCGTAGCACGCATTCAATGGTGGAAGTGAAGCCAAAGTGCCGCGCCTCGGACGGCCTCTGAAAATGAATAATCTGGATTGGTATGCTGCGCATATGTCTCGAGGCCAATGCGTGCGAGGGCATCAGAGGAAAAGAAGGCCCGAGGCAAGGTGAGGGAGTGGAGCAGGCGAGGGCAAGTGAGGAAATGGCCGAGCACGATCGTGCAGCTCTCGCACCCGAGCAGACAAATCTTGAGCGGGCTGGATGGGAAGCGGTGGCTGTTCCACCACGCTCCTGCAAGAGTCTTGCATACGGCGCGGCGGATTGCTGGTGCCTTGCGTGCTAGGTGGCTGGCAGCTCTGTCCAGCGTGCGGATCAGTCTTGTGAGCGGTTTTGTATTCTGCGTTTCGACACTAGGCGGAATTAGGGGGGAGGGGGGGGGGTCTGGCTCCGGACCTCTGCTTAGTGCGACTGCTTGGAACCGTGCGTCCTATGAGGGAGACTCCACCTGCTCGAAACAGGCACCCGAAGCAGCCACGATCTACTCCACGGGGGGGGGACGTGGGGGGGTGCGAGGGCCCGCGCCGATCGGCAAAACAACGCATAAAATAACGCTCACAGTCTCGTGCGCGGGAAGCGCAGCGTGCAAGCGGCGAGCCGGGGTTTCACTGGACCTGTCGGGGCAGAGGGAGGCGTGAAGGGCCGAGGCGATCGCTCGCCGTGCCCTGGCACGCCGAGGGTCTCGAGCGGCCGAGGGCACTGCGTCGTCAGGCGCCCGCTTCGGGTCTTGTCACGGTTGCAGGGGGACTCTGTGCTGGGGCATTCCCTCACCTGGCGTCGCGCACAGGGGGGTAGGGAGAGGGGGGAGGCTCCTTAGGAGAAGACTGCTTCTTAGCAGGCGCAGGCCTTACATCTACAGACAAGGCCCGCCGCTTCTCAGAAGCAGGGGTGCTTCTAAGGGGCCTTCCTCCCTCCCCCCCTACCCCCCTCTGCGCGTGGACGACTCATCGAGGGTGTGCCAGAATTGTGTGCTGCTGCAGCTCCGCCAAGAACACAGGAGGTACAGCGGCCCGCAGGCGGGCCTGGCCCAGGCCCGTCAAGGAGATGCCTGGATTGAGCGGGTCCTGTGCCCGTGCCAGAGCTTCAAGCCGCGGCGGCCAACCTGGCAGGGTGATCCTGGAAGTCCCCTAAGCAGAGGCTAACGGCAGCGTGTTGGCTGCTGCTGGGGAGGAGGTGTGCGACCACGGGCGAGCACCGAGGCAGTCGAAGAGGCGCCTGGGGCTGGGAGGAACGCGCAGGATCTCGTGCATGTCCCACAGTCGTAGGGGAAAATCGCAGGACAAGGGGCGTGCTGGGTGAGGTAGGCGAGGACTGTGATGACGCATGTACTGCACAGCTTGATCGCCACCGTCGGTGCTGGGGCAGGGGCAGGGGCTTTGAACTCCCCTTCGGCCAGTATGTGTCAAATGCTGCTTTCCATTGAAGGCCTGAAGTGGCGGCGGGTACAATAAGGACGCCGAGACATCGCGCATATGTTGCGATGTGTACGTCTTTCGATTTGGGTCCGAGGGAGGACATGAGGCGTCGGGCGGGGGACTGGGCAGAGGGAAAGATAGCCTCACGTAGCGGAACCATCAGTCCTCTTGATCTGAAGCTCGAGTCCTGTGAGAGCTGAGATGGCCCCTCGAACTGGGGGGAGACGAGAAGGACGACGGGCAAGAACGAGGCAAAGGTCGTCCGCGCAGGCTCCGCGAGGCAAGAACGAGGCCAAGGCCAAGGGGTGTACTAATAATTGCTAGAAGGGTACGGATATGCGCTTCAAATGCTTGGGCCCAAAAACAGCCCGATAAAGAACATCCGTTGGCAACCCCTGAATCTATTACAAACATGTGTTGCAGACGACCTCCAACGCGGTCCTAGGCACCTTGGGAACTATAGTAGAGGGCAACGATCATACTGAGGCATCCTGGAGGGACCCCGTGAGAAGCAAGTGCTGCGAAAAGACTTAGGAGGAGAGGAACGATGATGAGAAGGAAGATGGGGAGAAGAAGGATGGGCGAAGAGGGAGGAGGGGTGGGGTGGGTGGGGGGCCTGCCAGGATGAGCAGGAGGAGGGGGACGGGAAGGCCTGGAGGACCCGATCTTCTCCGATCATGGATCCATTCCTCCTCGATCCCCCTTCTGCTCCTCGGGCTATAAGATGTCAGGAGGGGGGAAGCTGAGGAGGAGGAGGAGGAGGTGGTGGAGGAATGACGACGAGGAGGGATGAGGACAAGGAGGAGGGAATATAAGGATGAGGAGAAGGTAGAAGAGGCGCAGGAGGAGGAGGAGGGAATATGACGATGAGGGGAACATTGAGGAGGACGAAGGCAGAGGAGGAGATAAGAGGAGGGCGAAGGAGGAGGTCTGAGGGCGTGGGAGGACCAACAACAAGAATACTGATGGGCAAGAGGGATGAATGTGCATTTAACGGATTTCGACCTTAGGCTAAAGCCCGCCAAATGGCTGCAGTTCACGTCGCAGTATCGTTACATTATTGCTCGTTCACTTGCGGATCGAGGCAGACATTGATAACTCATGCTTTCTCGGTGCATGGTGTGAGACGCCGCACGCGCGACCGAATTGGTATCAACCAGTGACCTGCATGCGTGCAAGTATCCCACACTCGCGTGAGAATGGCAAACACTTGGAAATAACATACGCCGGTATATCGTCATGTCTTTCAGCAGGTTGCAGAACGATGGCATTCCCGACCTCGATCGGAAGAATGTCAGGGACGCCCGCGACAGAGGCTCTGCGGTGAGCAAGGGGCATCTGCTACACCACTAATGTCACCTTCAAGAACGTACAACCGCGAACTGAAGGACTGTCCTTGTCCTTTTGCTACTGCGGTGCGTGTGTCATCCCGTGCACGCACGCTCTAAGCTGCTCCGAAATGGAGAGGGCAGAGGGAGGGGGGGGGGGAGCGGGGAGGAGAAGGGAAGAGAGGGAAGAGCCAGACATAAGGAGGCAGAAGGGATCTTGCAGAAGAGGATGGAGGAAGGAGGGTGAGCACAGTGTGGGAAGGAGCAAGAGACAAGAGATGCAAGAGATGTTGTTATTGGTGAGGATGCTGATGATGATGCTGATGGTGATGAGGTGATGGTGATGGTTAAGGTAATACTGATGGTGATGATGCTGCTGATGGTGAGATGGTGATGGCGGTGATGGCAGCGATGATGATGACAATCCTGCTGATACGGATGATGATGGCGGTGACGAAGGATGTCGATGATGAGGAGGGAAGTTGAGGATGACGACGAAGAGGAGCTGCAACAGCAAGACGAGGATGCAGCAGGCACCCACTCCCAGTACGCTGCCCGCTCCGCTGCCCCCCCCTGCGTCCGGCGGCACCCTGTCGCGGATCATGCCCTCCCAGGTATCCAGGCCGCGCCTCAGCTGCCTGTTGGAGACGCATGCCTGTACGGTGAAGGGGAGGGGAGGGGAGGGGAGGGGAGGGGAGAATCGAGGAGGTAACTCCTGGAAGGCCTCCGCAAGAACGACTAAGGGCGATGGGGCCCGAGAACAGGCCCTCCGGGCCGCACTAGCCCGCTTCGAAGCCAAGATCGAGCTCGGTTGCGCCGGATTCAGCGGGATTAGACCGAATTTCTGAAACTTCGGCCGGATTGAACCCGTCCTTGACCACGATCAGGGGGACGTAAGACCTGGGTACAGGGGACTCGGAAATCCCCGACGAGGTCGTCAACAAAAATGACGAGGCCGAGCCTGCATTTTGACGAGGCCTCCCGCTGCAGACATCCCACGAAACTCCTCCTCGTCAAAATCCGAGGCGCGGTCGTCAAAAAACGATGGCGAACCCGAGTCCTGGCAAACCCGGGTCTTACGCTCCCCCGACACGAGTATGCCAGCGACGGTGCTGGATTTAACCTTCCAGGAGTTTCGCCTCAAGATGATGACGATGACGATGACGGTGAAGACGTGGGCCTGTATCAGGTTGGTGAGCACGTGGACGTTCGGGCGAAAGCCGTACTTTGTCGAGACGTCCTCCACGAGCTGGAAGGCCGTGTCCAGCCTGCGGGCGCGGCTCATGAGCTTCACCAGCAGCGACAGCGTGAAGTTGCTGGGCGGCACCCCCTCGGCCTCGGGAAGACTTTCGCGGCCGAGCCGTGGCCACGAAGCGGTCCGGCACCCTCGCAGTCTGCATGACAGGCACTCCTCCCCTCATTCTCCTCCATCGCCTCGCCTCCATCCCCTCCTTCGCCTGCGCCCGTTCTCTCTCCACCCTCCTCCGCCTGCCGCCCGGGCGTGCCAGGCCCGGAGGACGTGGCGGGTCGCAGGGCGGGCCTGACAGCCGAGGGGAGGGCGGGCACGGACCCGTGGGGGATCGCTGCCGCCAAACGACCAGGCGGGCCAAAAGGGGGAGGGCCGGAAGGCACGAAGGCACGCTCCTCGGCCAAGGAGCTGCCAGGCGAGGGGTCGCAGCAGTGGTGTTGCAAGCGGAGTTGCAGGCAATGGTGTTGCAAGTAGTGTTGCGTTGTTCGAGCTGCCGCTAGTCGGCCAGCGGTGATGCAAGCAGTGGTCGCCCGACGCGTCGCCGTCGCGGGGCGAGGAGAGCGCCGAGGTATAAAGCCCCTCCTCGGGCATACTTCCCAACCGCGCCCAATACCATGGGCCACACGACTGACTCTGTCCCTCGTTCGCATCTTCCCTGTGAGCCTGCATCTGCTGCAGCAGCTGGAGACCCTCGTCCACCAAGTTGCTCTGGGCGCAGCCATCGAGCAGAGAGTTGTACATGATCTCGTCCGGCTTCAGGTCCGTCTCCCGCCTCATCTCCTCGATCACGGAGAAGGCCCTCGGCACCTGCCCCTTCTGGCAGTAGCCCTTGATCATGGTGCTGTACGTTATGATGTTGGCCTTCACCCCCGCGCTTCTCATGTCTGCAAGGAGCTTCGGGACTTGGTCCATGGACCCGCAGCGGGCACACGCGTCCAGAACGGTGTTGAAGGTCACGACGGACAGGTCCACGTCTTGGCTCAGCATCTCCTTGAAGACCGTCCACACGCGGTCGAGGCGCCTCTCGCGCGTGAAGCCTTTCAGGATGGAGCAGTACACCACGGAGTTCAGGATGCCGCGGCACTGCTCGTCCTGCTGCATCTGGCGGACCAGGTCGTAGGCGCCCTCGGTGTCGCCGTTGCTGACCACAGCCTCGACCATGCAGCCAGCGGTGATGCTGGTGGGGCGCACATGCCTGCTCCGCATTTCGCTCCAGCAGCGCCAGACGCCCTTGATGTCCTTCGCGTGGCCGTAGGCCTTGATGAGGCTGCCGAAGGTGTGCGAGCCGGTGACGTTGGCCCCGAAGCCCTCCTTGGGGGATCCACAATTGCACAGATCCGCCAGCCCCCCCGCTGGACAAACAGCGTGTGGAATGCTTGGCGACGAGCTCACTGCGGCCGGGAGAAGCCAGGGTCCAGGGTGCCTCCTCCTCCTCCTCCTCCTCCTCCTCCTCCTCCTCCTCCTCCTCCTTCCTCCTCCTGCCTCCTCCTCCTCCTCCCTCCTCCTCCTCTCTCCCTCCTCCTCCCTCCTCCTCCTCCCTCCGCCTCCTCCTCCTCCTTCCTCCTCCTCCTCTCCTCCTCCTCCCAGCCCGAAGCAGCCCCAAGGTGACCTCCAACATAGCACTGCATAGCCTTAGATGGCGCGTGTGCCTCCAAAATGCCTCCGAGAGGCCCCCATCCACGAGTGCCTCCTCCCCTCCTCCCTCCCTCCCTCCCTCCCTCCCTCCCTCCCTCCTCCTCCTCCTCCTCCTCCTCCTCCTCCTCCCTCCTCCTCCTCCTTCTCGTCCTCCTCCTCCTCTTCCTCCTTCTCCTCCTCCTCCTCCTCCTCCTCCTCCTCATTGCTCTCATTGCTCTCATTGCTATGGGAGCACCCTCTCACGGCGCTCCTGGGCCAGGGCACCCTGCAGAGACAGAACAAGTTTTTGAGTGTGAGTTTGCCTCCTCCTCCTCCTCCTCCTCCTCCTCCTCCTCCTCCTCCTCCCCCTCCTCCAAAGAGTTGCCCTGAAGTTGTTGCCCGGGAGAGCCTCAACAAGGGCAGGAGAGCCCAGAACCCAGTCGACAAGTCGGATCGGAAGTCGACATGGATCGGATCGACAAACATCGGCAGCCGAGTCGGGAAACGTCGAATCGGCAGGCATTCGCGGGCTAGTAGGCCTCCATTGACAAATCGGATCCCAAATCGGAATCCGAAATCGAATTGATTTCGGAATCGGAAGCAATCGAAGTCGAATCGAATCGAACCGAATCGGAGGAATCGAAACGAGCCCTGCAAGGTGACAGTGAAGGCACCAAAACTGCCAAGCGTCCCAGCAAGAGCCCCAGGAGGTGCGCTCCGACGGCGCGGGGGGGACCGATTGCGACCTCCCCCTTTCCGATCGACGCCCTCCAAGATGATCCCAAGCGAGCCCCAAAAATTCTCCAGGTTTCCCAAACAGGCCCCAGGAGAGAAGTGCGACGTCCCTCTTCCTGATCGACGCCATCCAGGATGACCCCAAGCGAGCTCCCAGAAATTCCTTAAGCTTCCCAAAAGGGCCCCAGGAGAGTCCCAAAGACCTGCGGAATGCCCTCTGGCGCTCTTAGAGATGGCCCCAGGATGCCTCCGAGAGGCTCCTCGAACGATCGGCGGGCGGCCGTCGTGGTCAACTTCTGTAAGTCTGCTGAGGCCTGCCCAGGGCAGCCCACGTGAGCATTGGCGAGAAGGCCCGGACGCACGGCCGCACGAGCTGCGACTGCCAGAAGCAGACCGAAGAGTGCCACGACGTGACCCCGCGGGGGGCGTCCCGAAAGCAAAGCACGCGTGTGCAGACAGACGCGCGCTGCGCCAATACTGCGACCGAACACTCACCTCTTGCAAGCCACCTCCTGGAACTCCTCACCCCTCCTCCTCCTCCTCCTCCTCCTCCTCCTCCTCCTCCTCCTCCTCTTCCTCCTCCTCCTCCTCCTGCACCGCTTTATCCTTCCCCCGACGCCAGAGCACCCGACATATACAATGACTTCTTGCCCGGCGTACGCCTCTCAAGCGCGCTCTGGTTTTGGGGAAGGCGCCGCGCGCGACTCCCACGACAGACAATGTGCTGCCCAGAGGCCCTCTTATCCGTGCCTGGCCAGAGCTGGCAGCCCCAGCGACTGCGAAGCCTACAAGGTCTGAGGGGCAACGTTAGGGGGAGACCGGCTCAGGGGGGGAGCCCTCGACCTGGAGCTGGCGACGCAGGCCGAGAGATCGGCGATGGGCCCCCGATGGCGAATCCGCGCGCTCCTGGGCGGTGACGGCTGTCGGGCCCCTTATCGGCGGTGAGTGGGCGCTTGGGGGTAGAGGCGTTGTCCCCCCCCCCTCGCCTACTCCCCTCCCCCTAAGTACACGTCGGTCGGAAGAAGTAGGTAAAAACACGAAGTGGGAAGGCGTTGGGAATCGATTGGGCTTCCGCCCGCCCCCTGAAGAGGGGGAAAAAGGGGCAACCACTCGACTCTTGGAGCAGGAAGGCGGCTGAAGTGTAGACTGGGGTCTGGGAATCCAAGAGTACCAATTTCAACGACCGACTGGTAGCGTTGCCCTTCGAAAGGCTGGCAGCCCTAGCGGCTGCGATGCCCACCGGAAGAGAGGGGAGAGGGCTGCGAAGGCGACGGCAAAGAACGAGGTAGCCGGCGGCTGAGGCAGATGCCCTCTGCACGCGCGGTTCCTCGTAGGGAGCTCACAAAGGACGTACGCGCCCACCAACGTACAGCCGAACAGAAACGTCGCCAACATTAGCATGTAAGAGACCTGGGTCAACTTCCACGAAGTTACTTGAAACAAACCTGGACCAACGTCTGTTGTGAATGCTGGAGGGGGGGAGCATGCTCAAGAAACTCGGCCAGCTTTCTGGCAAGTTGGATAAGAAACGTTGGCCCAACTTGTCGGGGGGAGGCCTGGATACGCCCTCCAGTCCCCCAGTCCGCGAGGCCAGCCGCGTGATACGCAGGTTCGCGCAATGCACACTCTCGAAACCAATGTGGGTTCATGTACCCATCGGTCGGAAGGAATAGGTAGAAACATGAAGTAGGAAGGCGTTGAAGTAGATTGGGTTTTCGCCCGCCTCCTTGACGCGGAGGGAAGTGGGAAACACGCTCGTTGATTGAAGTAGGAAAGCGCCTTCAGTAGACTGGGATCTGGAAATCAATAACTACCTGCTTTCAACGACCGATGGGTGCGTGCACGTCCTTCTTTTGCTCCCGATCTCGGGCCGGATGAACGGGGCCGTTCGCGAAGGGGGGGGGATTGCCGAGTCGCTCCTGCGTGGGTTTCGGTCTCCTGGCGCCCCCCTGCGCCGTGCGCGTCCATGTCTCGAGGAAACGACAGCCGCAAAAAAACACGCACGCCGCATGCCTCGCCCTCCCCGATCCCCCGCTCGTCTGCCCCGAGACCTGCGGTTCGGGCGGCCTTGAGCGGGGCTCGAAATCTACGCGACGTCGTCTGGCCAGTGAAAGGGGGGCTCGGTGAACAGGCGCCACAGCCCCTCCCAAGCCCAAGCTGTCGGGCGACGGGGCGTCCACACTGATATGTACCTCAAAGCTGGCAGCGCTGGTCTGCTCATATATATATATACACAAGACTGAATCGGCGCATCGCGCCATGTACCTTGGTCCTTGAAGTGTGGCATGCAGGCGGAATAGCAGGAAAGTCAAGCCGACAATTTAGCGATAATTACTCCTAGTTGCCTTTTTCCGGCATCGTCGCTATAGTAATGTTATTCGTTATCCTTCCTCCATGCTTCTTTTTCCTCATGTTCGCCATACCCTGCGCATTCTCCCCATCCTCCTCAGCTCTTTTTTGCGGAGACTCTTCCTTGGAGAGCCTCTGCGGGCCTCGTCAAAGTTGTTTCAAGCTTTCTTGAAGCCTTCTGGAGGACTCCTGGGCGTATTCTGGGGGCCTCTTGAGGCTTCCTCAGGCCACCCTGCCTCCAACCGCGGTCTCCCTGAACCGGGTCACGATTTGGAATGCTTCGGAGGGTGTCGTGGGGCCATCTTGGGCCACCATGGGGCTCTCTGAGGGCCATCTTGGACCCGTGTTGTGCCGTTTTGGGGCTCCCTTGGACTGCCTGGAAGCCCTTTCGGATGGTTGTGGGGCGATTTTGGAGCCCCCCAGGCAGCTTCGGACGCCCAGCAGACCGCCGTCTTGGAGCGTCGGAAGCCGAAAAGAGGAGAACCCAAAAATTCACCAAAAGCCAACAGAACATCAATGATTTTTGCCTCTTGGGGCCTTCTTGAGAGTGCTATTGGAGGCATCTTTGGGGCCGTCCTGGAGGCCTCTTGGGCCATCTTGAGGTCACGTCGGTCACTCTTGGAGCGCTCTTGTGCTGTCTGGGGGGTCTCTGGGACGTCTCCGATGACCCCCCTGATCGCCCTAGGTGTGCTGGGACGGCTTGGCAAAACGCCCTGCGAGGCCCGGGGGGCCGCTTCGAGACCCGTCCGGAAGGTCCCAAAACCCCAGATCACCGGAGTCCGGTTTTTTGGGGGGTGTCCCCCCGCCCGGGCATATGAAAATATGGAAGAAGTATATTCACATATATATATATATACACATGTATATTTATATATGTATATTTGTATATATGTAAAAAATCCTCTCGCATATTTGTATGGATCCGGAAGGGTGCGCCCCCCCTCCTCTCTCGAAACGGGATTCCCGGCGTCCGGGTCCCCTGAAGCGCCCCCTCAAAAGATCCCGCGACACTGCTGGGCCTCTGGAAGTCCGCGCCAAGCCGTACAAACAGTTCAGCGGCGGCCCGAAGAGGCCCCCGACACGGCGCAAGATGGCCTCCAGCGGCCCCGGGCCCTCGCCAGACGCCCGAAGACGGCCCAACGATCACCTCCAAGAGGCTTGCGAAAACTGGGGAAACTAGAATTTCGGTAGGTTTTGAATCTGATTCCGGTAAACTCGGTCATTCGGTCTTCCGGGCGTCCGAGACCGCCCGAGAGGTAAAGATTATCCCGGCAAAGCAACCTAACAGCGATGTGTACGAGCATATCTGGAAGCATTCCCCTTAAGATTCAGATGAGAATCCAGTTGTAGAATTCTGCTGTTCTCGCAGTCGTAGTCGCATTCGCGATGACAGTCGCAGTGGCAACGGCAGTCGCAGTCACAACCTCAGCCCTCAGCCTCAGCCTGCCTCAGCCTGCAGCCTCAGCCTGCAGCCTCAGCCTGCCTTCAGCCTCAGCCTCAGCCTGCCTCAGCCTCAGCCTGCATCAGCCTCAGCCTCAGCCTCAGCCTGCCTCAGCATCAGCCTGCCTCAGCCTCAGCCTCAGCCTGCCTCAGCCTCAGCCTCAGCCTAGCCT